AAGGCACACACCCACAGGTAGATGGGCTCTGATGTTTGAAAAGACTCAGATGAAATTGCATACAAACAGCCACATAAGTAGAAAGGTGAACACTCCTCCACATGGTAAGAGGAGGTTCTCTAAATTCTGGACTGTGGTAGAAGTCCACAAGGATTCCACCACTGTAGTGTTCTTAGGATACTCTATGGCCACATGATGTCATACATCTTCTCCAGTTGATGAAGACAGCAACACGTTGTTGGCACATGATTAAAAGAGCTCTGGGCACTGTGTTCTTGAATCACCACGTGGTTGATAGTAAATTTATGGCATTGAAAGCCACACTTGAGCATTCAACAGCAGATTTATAATCTCCAGGTTCCAAACAAATCCGCATTATGCTACAAGCTGGAAGGTTGCGGGTTCAAGTCCCGTTGAGGTCATTGGATTTTTTCAATTGACCTAATCCTTCTAGCCGCACTATGGCCCTGGAGTCGACTCAGCCTCTAACAGAAATGAGTACCAGGAATTTTCTTGGAATATTCTTGGGGCAGAGGCTGGCCAGCAGAGGCTGACAACCTTGCCACCACCTATGAGCTGATTGTCTAGAAAATGTGGGAACCTAAACATCTCACAACCCTATGGGCCTCCACAGCCTGTTGTTATTATTATTATTATTATTATTTTGGAGGGGGTGGGTTTCCCCATGCACTGCGACTAGTTGTTAATCTATTGTGCGTCCCCCTTTAATTATTCTACTAGTCCCCATGCCCTTCCAGTACTGGTGCTCGCTAACAGCCCCGTTCTAGCAGCGAGGTCGGCCACCTCTCTGGCAGTGGTCCCCGATACTTCCCCATTTACAGGAGGAATTGGAAACTACTCGGGCGGGAAACTTTGCCTAATTTTGCTCAGAGGTCTCCTTGAGATATGAGGATCTTTTACGTGCCATAAATCTACGACATGGGACACACGGCTTAAAGTCCCTCCCGGAGTACTTGTTCCCTGAATTTTTCCTACCTTAAAAATTCCATGACCTCCGCCGGGTTTGAACCCGCGTACCTTGAGTCATGAATTGGGAACGTTACCCCTAGACTACGGAGGCCACTTTACAGGGATACCTTTACTTTTTACTTACTACTCATTCTATGGTCCTACATATACACCTAATTGACAGGCTGTGAAAGTGATCCCTACTAGGTTTCCGAATTTGTTACTTCTCTCCAGACAGCTGAGATCAAGTTCATTGACCACATACATGACTGCCTGTAGATGAAAGGTGAGAAAGCATTTGATTATGAATACTGAAAGGTTTAGGTGATGTGTTGCAACAGCAATCTAATACTATGAGAATTATGTTTCTGACTGTGAATGAGACAGAATCTGAGCAGATTCATTGTACAGGGGTTCCTGTACTTGCTGTCACCACAGACCTCAGCCTGTTCCCCACCAGAGACCTCTACCAGAAGTGTCCGTTCTTTTGGCTGGAAGCATTCATGACCTTCCTAGCAACTGCATCTAGGACTTCCTGTATGTAAAATGGGTTATTATGTAGACTTTTCAGTATCCTTTAGCTTGAATGCTATAAAATAAGGTGCTGGTGTTTCTACATTAACAGTTGGCCGATGTCCTTCAGAACTTATCACACTTTCACTGTGATGGTGTGTATGATGCAATCAGTAATGATGAAATGGGCCTCCACTTGGAGCCACCAGTATCAGCACCAATCTGACAATGGGAAGATAAATAGACAAGATGTCAGAAATGTTTGGTCTTTGCCATTTATGGACCACTACCACAATACAATCCCAGTTAATACTTCAGAAGAGTTACTCTTCCAGAATATCACTGACAAATATAATACTGTGACATTACCACCTAATTATTGTCTGTTGATTGGTAATGGCTAAGTAAACATGTAACAATGCCCAGCCCACTGCCAGACAATGGTCAGACAACAGTTGGAAACATCGTTAGAAATAGTGTTCTATGTAGGGCCTATGCCAACCTTATACAAGGATAAGGACAGCTCAGTAGCAGCAGAAAATAGAGTTTTAGTTGCCTTCATGAGTTACATGTTAGAGTCACCAGCCAGTAATGACAAGAGCATGGAAGCAGAGGATATAATTGGGATCTGTTACCAGGCAATAAATGGCGAAGACATGGAAGACTGGGAAGACCTAGCATGTGCTGTAGTGATTTGTAAAGTACACAAATCAGTGAGGCCGTTAGAGGTACTTGTATTTACAGGTTATAAGCATCCAATAAATCCAATAATCAATCCAAACTCCATGTCTAGCCATTAACACATGACAATATTAATGGTAAGCCTAACATTATCAGTGAGCAATAACTGTAGGTCACAGCCTTGAGAATAACTGCCCATGGATCCCTGCCTATGCCATGCCAACATACAAAGGCCCAAATGGCTTCAGGGGACTTGCGGTTGACTACACTGCAGGTCACATCATTAGTAACAATTCATAATAGCATACACAGACCACTGATTTCATAACCATCATACTGCTTCTGCATGAGCCCCATCTGAAGCACCACACGGGCTCATCTAACCTGTGGTTCAAGCTCCAAACCTAAACTTACATATAGGTGTCAGTGAGAAAGAGTCTACTTAACCTGTACGAACACACAAGTTGGAAGTAACAGACAGCACCATAGAGACAGGAAAGATCCCTGCTGATTACAGAGGAGTTTAATAAATTGCTCATAAAAATCTTAGTATCTCAGAAATATATAATTCTAGACAGATAAGAAACACTCTTGTAATATATGCATACAGGTGTGACAAAACCAAATATGCTGAATATGGAGATATGCATAAGGCACTCAGCATGTAAAGCAGGGATATGGCAAATGAAAATGGTAGAAAGCAATATAAGGGAACCTGGAATTAAAAACATTTTTATGGGAATGAATAACAATCATATAAATATTCTAAATCGAATGATAAATTATTAATTCTTGTTGCAAAAAACTTCATACCCTTTTGTATCCTCATCAGGACATTGTATGAGTTACCTCAGGAGGTACTGGGTATTTCCAAACTGAATGAATGCACAAAAACAAGAGCACAGAATTAAAAAGAACAAAACTCAAACATATTTCACATGAGTCCATACTCACGGACAGTTATCCCTTCAGTTCGATCTATTACAGGAAATATAAATAAATGAATTGAGGCAAGAAGTCTTAAAGTTCTGATTGGTCATACATATTTCTAATATTTCCTGAAAACAAGCAATTACACTGTGTGCTGCAAACAAAGAATGTGCTTTTTCATTAATCATGAATTTTGATTGCCTAATGTCATTCTCCCCATCAAACATAACCACAATATCAATACAGTGTCAAATTATATGTTAACGTGTGTCTCATTGTCAGGTCAAATGTCCAGGAAGGATGGAAGAAAAAGTGTGCAATCAAGTTTTGTTTAAGCTGATGAAAAGTTCTATCAAGACTTTCAATTTGTTATAGCAAGAACATGATGATGTAGCAGTCATGCCCATGAGTGAGAAGTGGATCCAGCAACATATTGGGAAAGAGACATTTGCAGATGTCAGATTGGGAGAGCCCAAGACTCTGCTGAATATTTTGACCATTATATCAACTTCTGCAAGAAAATCATCACATTATTATTCAGATGCTGGCACCTCAGCTCAATGTGTAAAAATGTGAAACCACAAACTGTGCTGTCCATCTGCCAATTCTGGTGAATAATTAGATTATTGCTTTACCACATGCACCACATTCCCCACATTGTCTCCATATGACTCTTAAGTGAGCACTTCAAAATCCTTATTACCCTGACAATGGAACTGTTAAAACACATAGCAGTGCTAGTGGGCACCATTCCACAAAATTCATTTCAGAACTGCTTCAGTGACCTCAGAAACACTGTAGATGATGTATCAATGAAAGGTTAGGATACTTCAATGGTGATGCACAACAGTACCATTAAACTGTATAGATATATTTTATTAATTTCTATACTGTCAGTACTGGAAATGTATGGACATGGGTTATAGAAGTGTGGGGCTCTTAATGTGTAGTTTTGTCATTACTCCGATGACAACCCACTTCTTCGGAACAGTTTGTTGGCCCTGAAAAGGACCGTGGTTGCTGAGATGCTTGACCGGTGGGGTAGCGCGGCGTGCGCCGGTAAGGAGAGAGGCTAGTTGTGGTGAGTGGCCTGGCCGCAGTGCGGCCGTGGCTAGAGGTTGCTTGGTTGCTGTGCGGCAGCGTGAGTTGGAGGTTGCTTGAGCGCAGTGCGGCGGCTGCTGGTGAAAGGCTAGTCGTTGAGCACGGTCGTAGGAGTTATGAAGCAGTGGCTACGCCAGATGCCCAGTGGGTTGGACAGTAACACGACCACCGGCGAGTCCAGGCGCAATGCCCCAGTGAGTCGGGTGTGAGAGAGCCGGAGGGCCGAGGCAGTCGTACCTGGCGCAGCCTGCCGATGCCTCCGAAGACCGAGCGCTGGCGACGAAGCCTGCTGGCTGATGTTACTTGATGTGGCTAGCTCGTAAGCTGATGATGAACTGAATGACTCAGCGTTGGAGCCGCCCCTTTTTATACACTGCTCGGTGGGGCGGAGCGAAACTCGAAATTGAGGAGGAAGAATTGATTGGCTAGCACGCATAATGATGTAGATGCGGGCTAGCAGTGAGCATAGTATAAATGCGATCGTTTGAAGCAATCTGATTGGTTAGCGCGCGTGATGGTGAAAAGTGATGTGAAGAGTGAGCGTTGCAGAAATGCGTGATAATGTGGGATGTTCCCACAGAAGCAAGTAACAAAATATTCACTACCACATTTGATTACTGAACTCTTGTAATACAGTCACTAAAGCTGAACATAATTCTTTGATCTATGCAGGCATCATCCATAAATACATCAAAATTGCAAAAATTATAAAATGAAACACAATTAACATATCATGCAATATGAATCATCTACAGTAGTAAAATCACACACATGAAACAAATACACATCAGAACAATTCAACTTACTTGACCAACATGGATGTTTGAATGACAATCACAAACAGTTGTATTATCCACACAATGTGATTTCATTCGTTCTTGTAGTTTTTCCAATATGATGTTGTCTTCAATATCTTCATGACACTTAACCTCAAAAAATATATCATGTAGGTGCCGAAGTAGTGCCTGGAGAGCTACATTGCTTGTAAAGTCAGTTTTTCTTATCTGAAATAACAGTACATTTATTCCTGTTTAATGCTTCTTGCCATTTCAAAACTGGTAGCTCATCACAACAAAATCCTATCTCTGAACCATACACTGACCCAACATCATTCAATTCACTGAACGCTACGCAGGTTACTGCAGATGTATTACATCTGGCCTTTTATTGGGGAGTTGCTTGGTTCAGATCTCAGCCAAGCCAATGGCTATCCTGACTGAGGTTCTTCATGGTTTCTTCAGTCCCTGCTGCTAAATGCCAGGATAGTGCACAGATTAAGACATATCTTCTTCCTTCCAAATCATTTTAAATTCATTATTCACCAATTATCCTACTATTTGACCTTACACAGNTGAATAAATCATTTTCGAGCAAAATTTAAATGGCCGGCTGAATATATTACCGCCGGAGACGCGGCCGTGGAATTTAAATGACCGCGCCAAAGGGTTAAGACATATCTTCTTCCTTCCAAATCATTTTAAATTCATTATTCACCAATTATCCTACTATTTGACCTTACACAGTCCAGATACTAAGAGCATCATAAAATAAACAATAAACAAAATACAAAATTCATATTCAGTGTCATTATCGTCTATCACTTTGTCTTACCAAGAAGATTTCCCATCACAGTTTTGTGTGCGCTTGACATATAAAAGTTCCACCACTTACCTAACACTTCTTTCACCATTATTTTCACCATAAGAACAACCACTTGCATCATAACAATGCATATGCATTGTGCCATGATGTAACTTTTTTTTTTTAATTTAATACAACTTAGCTGTGTGGTGTATTCAAGTTATGGTCTTAATAGTGTAGTAAATTTTTCAAAACAGTTTCATGGCAGGAATATAATTTCTTTGTACAGACTGTCTCACATGAATTATGTTCTGAAGCTGGTCAAGTGATGTGTGTATGTGAGTCCAAGTATCTATTTGTTAAAGATATGTAAACAACATGAACAACAAAAATAGTTTCAGATATTGAAAATGTAGGTTCTTTTGTATGGACATGCCATATACATACACAACAGCCAAATGTCCAACCACTCATTCCACACTGTTTCTCCAAAATGGAGCACTGCGTGGATGAAATGATAAATACAAAACATGTTCCTCTACAAGAGACACTGGGGTGTACAAAAACTTGTACATCAGATATACAAGTACAAAATATCCTGTTCTTTCCAAACAGTAAAGGTAAAGCTGTCCCTGTGCTCATCTTATTAAGCACTACGCCATGAAGATGTACGTGAGAGTGGATGTACACACTAAAATTTTAACTTTGGCACTAATTGGAGGTGAGTTATCAGCTTACCAGACTGAACAAATACTCAAATGATGTCACATTATGGACATTTCTAATTGGCTGAACTGTGTAATGATGCTACAAGCAGCTTTAAAACTGCCAACTTCTGATTAGTGGCTGATGTCTTTTGATCACAAATTAGAAAGGTTCAGTGTATATATATATATATACATGACTCACTTCTAAGACTACAAGCCATAACACTAGTTATTTTCTTCTACAAGGACTTTATTACTGTCATCTTCACTTCTCCAGGAAATTACACATAACGTGACTGTGTGAAAGTATGGGAAGTGCACTGTCTTTAAAAATTATAGGCTTGCAAGAAAAGGGAGAGCATTGAAGAGCACGAGGAACTTACGTTTGGTATTATCTGGACCGTGTGACTTTTCTAGTTTAAAATTGTAAATGTGAATATTGAGGTATTTCTAATTATAACAATATGTGTGCAATAATGGTGGTTCTTGTACACCTGATATGCATATCTGTTTAATATAAACACAATATAACAGTTCTGATTCTAAAAATTTTGGTCAATTTGTTAACAGGTTTTCACCCCCGAGTACTTCGGTTTCCCCTGCCAATCCTCATTCCATCAAATCTCCATAGGCATTACCACCAGTAAAGGTACAATAGGACATATGGAGGATTTAAGACCACAGAAACTGTTTTCAAGACTAATTATACTGTCATATTATTATCTCTGTATTACTATATTATTATTATCAATTATTATAATTTGGCATACTACTTCTGTATTATTATATTCTTATTACTATTTAGTATTAGTATTAATATTAATCTTTGACTTGTCTCATATCATGTATAATGATTCATGGATGAAATAAAATTGAATTGAATTGAATTGAATTGAACAAGAACACTGCAGAAAACTGTGATTTAAAATGCAAACTGTTTTATTTTTTATGACACTGTCAGTATCCGGACTGTAGAGCATTAAATGATCGAATGACTGATGAATTGGAGAAAATGTAGAAGTGGCCACAGTCTGACATCTGCCTGGAAAGACTACAGAAAATCTTGAAAAATCCCAGTCAGGATAACTGGCGTCTCAGCAGAGATTAACATTACCCTGTTTATATACAAGGAGATTTAAGAGCCTTCTGCATACCTCTGGGAGGTCTGGAAGAACTAACATGCACTAGTGATGAATCGATGTGTGAATGTTATGTTATTTTTTACTTATGTTACTTTTGATGTGAGGTTGTTGATATTTGACATGTCCAATTGTAATTCTCTACAGCTATGGATGAAATAAATAATAATAATAATAATTAGTATTGGACTCATGGTTAACACACCAACAGCTTATACACACAATTTCTCTCCAATATTGCACCAACAAATCTCTGACCAGCTACCATGAAGCATGCTTATGTGCTCTCAGAACTTTCCACAACCACCGCTCTGAGGGCTGTGAGAACCTCAAATCATTCATATCGTGTATAGGTTATGAGATCCACAACCAAAAACTACAGTTCATATGCCATACTCCTATTCTTTTAACAGGATATGTCATCACCTTACATAAGGTGAATAAAATTACGAAGATATCCAGTTTTAGTTTACCTGTTCTAAACACACTTTAACAAGCTGTTTCATACGTAAATGTGGTACATAAAATACATCTACTTCGTCCAACATTACTTCCGCCATTTTTATGCTTGAAATTCGAAGATATGGGCAGAATCGAATGGAAACTATCGAACTTTTTGCGTATTTAAGAAAACCAAAGAAAGTCTCTCTCGGTGCTCTCGGTCACTCAATCGTTTTAGTCATTCTGCAAACAATATACACAACTCCTTCTTATATGAGAGTATGATTAATATGATTTCATTTTAATACATCCAATTACTACTGGCCGCTTCAACTACTCTATAAATTCGCTAATTTTGAATTTTAACTAAAACGAGTTGTGTCCAGTTTTTAACAACACCAAATGCACTAATAAACTTAAATATTAAACATGGTGATATCCAAATTAATGATATGAGTACTATGAAATTCCTTGGACTGACAATTGATAGTACTTTAACATGAAAGGCACGTGTCAAACAAACAGCCAGCAAATTGACCTCGGCTTGTTATGTTATAAGAGTTCTAGTCTTAGTATTGTCCCTAGAGAGCTTATTGATGTATAATGCCTACGTCCATTCTATGTCATATGGCATAATATTCTGGGGAAATCCAATGTACAGTACCCAAATATTTAAAATTCAAAAAAGAATAATTAGGGTAATAATGAAAGCAGGAAATAATGACACTTGTCGGCCTCTATTTAAAAAATTAAACATTCTACCATTTTATTCACAGTATATATTTTCAATATCGGTCTTCATAGTTAAAAACATAGACAAGTATGTAGAAAATTGAGATATTCATAACATTTATATGAGACAAAGATTCGAACTACATTATCCACCTTATAAATCAACCAGGGCTCAAAAGGGAGTATCTTACACGGTGATTTGAATATTTAATAAATTACCACATAGTATAAAAAATTTATCGCAAGACTTAAATAAATTCAAATATTCCTTAAAAATTTTTGCAGGTGGGCTCTTTTTATTCTTTAGTTGAGTATTATGAATGGAAAACAAGGGATGATTATGTTAATTACAGATAAATAAAACAACACTAGTCATTTTTAAAAATTTTATTGTAGGGTACCTATAATTCTTTAGATATGCTTTTACTCCATAATTGACAATGTTAATATGTATTTTATTATGATGATAAGTGGCAATGCAAGTGTTATATATAACACTGTATCAATCATTGTATCAATAGTTATTGCAACAATGGTTGTAAATATGTTGTAATATCTTTATGACATAGTCCTCTGGAGTAATTTTACTGTAACCTGGACTTTGACATGTTCTATATCTGGAGGCGCTATCCCTACTATTGTACTCATTTTTAATGATGGACTACTTCTACACATATCTGTGGTGACTTGTTATCACCTGTATGGGTCACTTGAAGTATCAATAAATTAAATTAAATTCAATTAAAAAGAACAGTTACATTTAAAATGCTCATAAGACTGGGCTTTCTTCAAGCTTTCACCTAAAAAGGCACAGAGTTTGAACAGGGGCCCTTGTAATGACAGAAAGAATTCCAAGGAGAGGATAGCCATTCTCTTAGCCTGCAATTGTGATGAGACTGATAAACTCCTAGCCATAGTTACTGGGGAGGGCGAAAACTTCTGTTGCATTAAAATTGTCATGAAATTGACCACAAAATATGTAAGCAACAAAAACATATGGGTTACACACACTGCCTTTACTGAATATTTAAGGGCACTACATGCCGAAAATGGAAGAATCTTACTTTTTGTTGAACAGTGTGCTGCTCATAATCCCCAGACACAAGTACCTATGGAATGTGAAAGTTGTGTTCCTTCCCCCAAACTGCACCAGCATTCTCCAGCCACCACTTGCCCAGGGAATAATCAGCTCATTCAAATGTTATTACCTTGTACAACAACATGTAAGAAAAATTATGTCAATGACTGATCGCAAACAAGTTGCTCCACAGAGCAACACTCATAAAGGTAAATGTTTCGGATGCACAATCTTGCATGCAGAATCATGATGCTGTATCACACATATGACAAGAGGGAACTGTTTTCAGAAATGTGGATTCAACTTAAACCAATGATGGTGAAGATGCAACAGAATGTAGCATAGCTGCAGATGACTGGGGTCAGCTGAAAGTAGGAGTACCATTTCATGTGTGAGGTTCAAATTTTAGAAGAAATGAAGAATGAAATGTTTACATTTGATGTGTCTGAGGAGGAGGAAGACAGAGGAAAAGTGAACTTCCAGCAACATTTTTGTCCACACTGGGAGTACTGACACTGTGAGTCATTACCTCATGAAAATAATAACATGATGACTGCCCTCAGTAGTATTGAGACTCAGGTGAACAAAGAATAAGTTCCATCAAGTGCAACAATTTTTAATCTGAATAAAACCTTTACATGAATACAAAGTAAAACTTCTACATTTATCTATATATACAAAACATTAACAGATGAACAAAAAACTGATGAAAACAATTTAACAATAGCCTATTTGATATAGCCATAAAATACATAGACACACTCCTGTACAACCATGCATGAACATACTGACACCCAAAAAATTCATTCTCACAGGACATCAGTTCATTACAACACATCACAAGCAGCACCACGAGCCCACCAGAACACATGCAAAACACCATACAGGTATGACAATCAGTAATCATTTTGATTAGAGATTCTCACTAAGATCAAATATAGAACTCTGAAATACCTATACAATGTATGTAGGCGGCCTATGAATCAAGACATTTACATACCAACAGTAAAGAAATACAAAGGTCACTGTGGTCCATGTAATTAAACAGAAAGATTTTAAGTTAATTGAAACAGATACTGTTTGCTTTTTGACACAACCTGCTTTTAAACATACCAATGTTTTAAGCCTTTTCAAGACAACACGCACATGTCCTACTGGAAAAGTAATTCCCCTGAAGTGTTGGTTGCCTTCTGCTGATGGCCGATACTGGACAACACATGTAAAGGTTTCACTTGTATTAAAAACTGTTGCATTTGATGGAACTGATTTTTATTCATATGTTACAAAGTGTAACAGTTGAAGAAAATGTCTTTTATAAAAAAAGGTGTGCAGGGTTCAGCAGAAAATGAAGCTGCAGACATGTGGAAGAAGTAAAGTATTATGTACTATATTTTTTTTATATAATACAGTATTAATTTTCACAGCTGCACACATTTTCATTTCCATTTTCCATTCATTTTAAATAGTCCCTTGAGAAACATAAAATCCAGGTTTTGCTGCGCGTGCATGTATGTAATGTAGAAAATGTTCTCATGCCATAGTAGCTCTCTGTACACATACAGATGTGTCTGAAACTATGCCATAAGAACATTAAAAATGTACTTCAGTCACTGTTTTAATGGAGAAAGGAAGGGACAAAGTAAGGAAGAAGTGACTTCCCACAGATGGTGAATGGGCTTTCCCACTAATATTGTAAAATTATTGGACAGATATTAACCTGGACACTACCAGGAAACTTGTATTCAGCATTATTAGAGCATAAGCTTTACATTCTTGAGGTGATGATCCACGTTTTGGCCACAAAACTCTTTATTGTTATTGGGTCTTCATAAAACTGATGTATAGTCATAGAGGTCAAATTCTTACTCATTCATAAGTTGAGGATTTGATGGCAGTGGGCAGATTTCTGGGGCAAAGACTTAAATAAGATGCTGGGTGAAACACACAAAAGCAGAAACTGCATATGGAATTTGTAAACCATAGCATCTTCCTTCATATGAAATTTTACTGTTTAATGAGTCATGGAGCACCTCACTGGCACTTCATTTAAAGAATCTCAGTATTAACAATAATCAACTCTTTTTATGTCATATTATGTGTAGCTGTTAAATAATTATAATGCATTTTTAAAATCCTCAGTAGTTCCTTTTAAAGGAAAGCTCTTAGTGCTTTAAAAAATGTATTTGATTCTTAACACTCACTGAAGTGACAAAATTAATCTGTTTTCTAATTCAGAATGTATCATTCATAATCACAATTTTATGAAAACAAGTTTTTGTATCTACCAAAGCACATGTTTGAAATAACAATTGACATTTCTACTCAGAAAGTTTCAAATTTCTTCTATATTCACTTTTTATGATTCCCGGTTATGGAAGTTTCTGTAACAGTATATCTTCGTAAAATGTATATTTGAGGAACTGGCAATTATTTAAGAATTGCAAGCAATATCATGTAGGCTACTTTAATGAGAGTAAACAGACACATTAGAGACTACATGAAACTCAAGGCACGGAAAATAATAAAACAGCAGATACTGAATGCCTCTTAACAAACCTCTGTACAAGTTCATCTTGGACTTGTCATATTTTGCATAAGGATACTGCTATGCCAGTCACAAACTCCACAGAATAACCTTTGTTATTTCTTGCATCACCCCAGCAGAAAAGTCCCTATTACTCAGCTGGTGTTTTATATTTTGAACTGATGGTGGTATTCTCTCCCCATTCATGCTCTTAATAAGTCAAAGATATGAGAATGCTGTGTTATCAGCTGTACTCGTTTGACTTGTGAAGAACAGAAATTAGTGGCTAAGCCATGCTAACACATATTTATGTGAATCCAAGATGAAAGAAAGACAATATTAGAGCAGAAATTTTTAAACTGAAGAATATTGTTATGCTTAAAATAATGGAATTGATGGTGCATATGAAAGCACTCACTAAAATTAACTTCTCATTACAGTCCAAACTCTTTACATGAGCCATTTTTAAACTGAAGAATATTGTTATGCTTAAAATAATGGAATTGATGGTGCATATGAAAATGTCATGGTAAAAATTGTATACTGTCTGCAATTTTTTTTCCAAGACTCAAATAATGTATACAAATACCTTTTCTTGAACACTGTTTTACTTTAGGCTACTTTTAACTGAGTTTAATTATTCATGAAGATCATGAGAGATACTGTAAGCTATAATCATCCCACTAGCTACAAAATTTGCAAAGTGCTGCACTGATGCAGGAAAATAAAAGCCTCCAGGCGCAAAGGCAGTAATAACCACATTCTCATATGTAACACTTCCTCTGATCCCGACAATATATACAAGATATGATACACAGGAAAAAAGGTTTTCAAATACCATCTAACCTGTCTCAATTCAACAGAATATTGTATGCTACTGGCTGGCATCAGCTGGGATAACTGAAGGCAATACATGAAAGCATATCTGTAAAATCCATGAGTATGTGAGGACATATCTCTGAAACAGGGATAAAAGGTACACATATATTTCAAGCCACGAATGCATGAGGAACTCACAATTATTGTTAGTCAAATTCATGTTGTCTCAGTACTTTTTATTTCAATTATGAATACTACATGTTCTTCAAATAACTCTGATGTAGCATTACAGCATACTTTATTTCAAATATTAAAGCCAATTTTTAAATTTATGCTGAATCATTACACTTGAATAAATTCAACATGTTTAGCTGGATGCTGATTATCTCTTCTCCATGGTTTGGACCATAAATCAATATATTACAAGGGGCAGGAGAAATGAAAAGTTAAAAGAACATGCAAAATAGAACTAGGCTATTCATAGTTGCATGAAATATATAAATATCCTATCTAGAACAATATATAAGAATTAAACAAATTGTAACTTGTTCCACTACAATTACTCAGTCTCCAAATTAATCCTAACTTGTCTTTTTCTTCAGGCAAATCCAAACCCTTCAGAACACTCATGGATGGCCTTGAGGAGGTAAGTGCGCAACTTGTCATATGTCTCGTAGACAGGAAGGTCTAGCTGATTGAAACTGCAATCAAGGACGAACATATGCTATATAACATACATCTATCAAAATGGAATAAAAATTAAGTTCTTGCAGAAAATAATGTGGCATATAGACCGATTACTATGTAATAGGCAAATAAAGAAACACCCTCATTAATATTGTTAATGTGACGGACCAGAATGAAACTAATCAAACAAACACCCATTTCTATGCAACAGTTCAGGTATTACTGGAATATAACAGAAAAGGTGTTTTCTGTGTGGTTTGTGCCAAGATGTTATAAGCAGGATCAGTTGAATTCTGGAGTAGGACCTGTCAGCAGTTCTGCTGAGTGAAGTGACACAGCATGACAATACAACCCTCACTATCCATGCCTTAGCTCTTAACATAAGTTTATGTAATCTTTTGTACAAATTAGTAACAGTGCTTAATCACATATTTGTACACTTTTCAGTCTGTGATTAGTGATGCAGGTCATCAAAAGTAAGGCAGTTAATGTTACAATGGCAATCTACATGGTCAATGCAATTGTGAACACAAAGTAGGGTGGAACTTCAACATATGACAATTTATAAAATTCGGGATAGCGTAGTTGGTATAGCAACTGGCTATGGGCTGGAGTTTGAGGCCCAGTGGTGGCAAGAATTTTCACTTCTCCATGTCGTTCAGACCAGCCCCAGGGTTCACCCAACCTCCTATCCAATGGGTATGGGGGTAAAGTGGCAGGGGCATGAAGCTGATCACTCACCTCCAGCCAGTGCTGAGGTCAAGAAAACGTGGATCCACTCCCCCACATGCCTTCATGGCATAATGCTTTATTAGTTAAGCATAGCGACAACTTTGACTTCTTTTTAACCTTTTACCTACATAAGTTCAGTGTAACGGATATGTGTAACATCAAAACATGGTTTAAATATGTAATTACAAGCCTGTCCTCTAACTTCCAATTATGCATAATATGATATGGCACTAATACACTCAATNGTTACAATGGCAATCTACATGGTCAATGCAATTGTGAACACAAAGTAGGGTGGAACTTCAACATATGACAATTTATAAAATTCGGGATAGCGTAGTTGGTATAGCAACTGGCTATGGGCTGGAGTTTGAGGCCCAGTGGGAGCAAGAATTTTCACTTCTCCATGTCGTTCAGACCAGCCCCAGGGTTCACGGTGAAAGAATGCAAGGATTTGTGGAAAGTTTCAAGGACAGATAGACCACCAAAGTTAGTCTCTTTGTATTGATCTTCAAGTGCATTAGCAAAATGTCAGGGTGTAAAAGGAAGCGTGTTGTGATAAGTACTAAACAGAAACTCGTGTGAACCGGGCTTCGAAATGTTAAGCAGTGACAAAATCGTAAGTTCAGTGGGGGTTCAGCCAGAAGAGCAGGAAGAAAGTGAGAATGAGGAAGATGTGGACGCTGCTGCTAGTAAGAAAATATCACATGGTGCTGCTCTTAATCATTGGAATCCTTACTAGACTATCTTGAGAGTGAAGAGAACAGTTTATTAAGTGACAAG